CAACTCGGAACGTGTAAATAACACATACGTGCGACAATTACGTAAAGGAAAACGACACGCACGCACAGTGTTCTAGTCGCGTGCACTGCTTTGTATTGGTTTAGTGCGCGCGCGCAGCTTGATTGCAGTAGTTACATTAGGCCAGGTGAAAAAACCTGCTTCGTTATCTTCACTCATTCAAGAGTTTGTTGTGACAAAGCTGAATTTTGAACAGTTGTTTTTGCCCCGTTTGGACTGGAGGCTTAAAACAGACCTCGGTCGGTTAAATGCTTGAGACATCACCAGGGAAAAATTTGAATCAATTTTCTTTTCCGTCCTTTTGGTTTCTTGTTTCAACACATAATTAAGATCGTGTTAACAAAGCTTGGTCGTTCTAATTAAGGGCTGTCTTGACCTTATGAGCTGATACAGACATCTCTGCGTTCGGTCTGTATTTGTGACCTTGATTAAGATTAAGATTACCCACCGCTTCACAATATAAAAAAAAGGCCTAAGGTCATGAAAATTTTCCATTGAAACCATGGGAACAGGAGTGGTGCAACATTTAAGAGGGTATTTGTTTGCCTAACTGCGCATAATATTGAAAGGAAGTTGATAGTTGTTAGATTCTTAAAGAGATCACTTCTTAAGACATTGACGTCAATTTTCCGTCGTCTGTAACCTTATTGATCATAGAAATGACGTCAACAATGTTCAAAACCGAAGTGAAACCATGAGGCGCGGCCGAGTGGTTTCATTGCAAAGTGATCAATAAGGTTACAGATGGTGGAAAATTGACGTCTATTCGTTTTTTCCAAAAAAATATTATTTTATTAAGCCTTCTTATTCGGCCAAGTTTTCGGAAAATCACGCGCACGCGTGACATGATCTTGTTCGTTTTCTTTCACGTTTTTTTTCCGTTTTCGACCAATTCTTCAAGAGTTTCTGCTCGTATCACAGTCTTAAAATTGTGAAACTCTTCGCAATATTTCTGACATTTGCGAATGTTTCCGCGCAAAGAAAATTTTCTCTGACAGATTGCAGATTATTGTTATGATCTATAACTTTAATAACGATGGCTCTCGACCCGAATAAGCTCGTGAGAATTTCTACGCTTATTGTAATAATATTAATACTGACTTGCCATCCCAGATTCTTGGATTCATCCAAATCACGTATAAGTTGGTTAACTCTAATGTTGGCGCCAGCTATTGACAACACTACATAGTTTCAGGATTTTAGTCATTTTTCCTTTGCTCATCCGGGTTTTACCTCACACCGTCTCCCAGCTACGACGCAGAGGGAAAGACAATTTCAGACTCCAGCTGGGTAAAAAGATCTACACAAATGCATGTTTACTGATATTGATGATACGGATAAGTTAGAAAGAAACCTTAAGTCCTCTCTTTCATCTTTTTTGAGAGCTCAGCAGAGACACTGGATGATTTTATGGGGCTGATCCTTTCTGAGTAACGCAAGCCTTTACAGTTTATCAATTATGTCTTTTGTCTAAGCCGGTAGATGCTTGTATGACGTAAGCTGATGCAGTGGAAATCTTTTAG